CGACGGCACGTGACGCGGCCGCAGCCACGCCCTGAGTTGCGTGGAGTGCGAGGGCCCGCCCAACGCTGCTTGCAGCTTTAATTACTATTGGCTTTATGTTTGCGGGACTTGTGGGGTGTTGAGTGTGGTTGTGTTGGATCTCTACCTTCTGAGCAGGAGCAGCCTGGCTGCTCTCTCCCACACAGAGTGGAGGAAAGAAACAGCAAGAGTTGCACTGTGCATAAAAGCTAAGATAAGATCAGATCAATAAATTGTAATATAGCCAATACCAATCAGCAAAAAAATTACTGGATTGAGGCCGATACCGATTGTTGAGATTGGATTGGGACATCCCTAGTAGCCATAGTAATTACCTTGTGTGCAATGTTGCGGAGGTTCCTAAAGAAGTCTGGGGAGGCGTGGTTATCTCCGCCTTCAGCCTGGATTGGTTCAATTACAATCCCAGCGACTGGCTTCCCCTTCTGCCTCCACTTCACAATCAGATCCTCCACCTGAAAACACACACACACAGACTTTTATTTTGTATTTTCTCAGAGGTGCCATTTTTATCTAGAGGTCTACTGTGTAACATTTAGGAAGATCTATTGGCAGAATATAATAATATTCATAGGTATGTTTCGTTGCACCTAAAAATAGGAATGGTTGTGTTTTTGTTATCTTAGAATGCTCCGCCATGGTGAACTGCCATGTTTCTACAGTAGCCCAAAATGGACAAACCAAACACTGGCTTTAATAGGGCCTTCACATTTTTCATGAGTTTCGTGGTCACTGTAGTTTCTCCTACATGGTTGGAAGGCTGAGCTGTATTCAAATGGTTGCAATATGCACCATCACCGCACAATGTCACTAAATCCCACACACCGGACCTTAAAAAGAATGATATCAATTTAATACTCAAACATCTGTGATGTGTATCATACATACTGGCAATACTTCCTGCCTTATAAAGGCACAAAACAATCACCAAAGTAGTGCTGAAATTCCATTCCATTAAAGTCCATTAAATGTTGATAGACAATTAAAATTCTTAAGTAAAAGACAGTTTGCACATCACAGTAAACTGTATACCTTTGGATTTTTAACTGTTGGCCAGACAAACTAAACACTTGGAATACATCATATTGGACTCTGAACTTGAGATGGAAGTAACTTTTTTGTTGCAATTTATAGCTTAAAAGATTTGTTGGTTAATGAAATACTGAAAAAAGTATAACATTGCCCTCAATCAGAATATTATGAAGGAATTGGCCATATTCCCCTTTCTTTTTTGAGTCAAACTAAATATACCCAAGTTAATTATTTGAGAGATCAATTAAATAAACCAAAATATTGCTATGAATCAAAATTGCTGCCCCTGTTCCTGTCCTAATTACATAACAATAACAACCTACTAAGTGCACCAAATTATATCATTGCACTGCATGTCCAGGGATATACATTTCATGAAAGCATGCAGCAACACCTAACTAAACCCACTGTTCAATGAGTCAATAATGTACCCTTCATATGTCTAAATCAGTATGAAAAAGTAAAAGGGCTACCCTGACATCACTCCTAAATCTTACTGGTTTTTATTTCAGAATTTGTATAATTGCATCTACTTAGGCTCTACAAGACGCAGCAGCCCAGTCAACTTGTCATATGAATTGGTGTCTAGAAGCTGCAATCAGTTTTAATCAATTTAATTTTTTCTTGCAACTGCAATTATAATTGTATTTATAAAATAACCACCATACTTTATGATTGTGCACATACATGTCCCCTTTTGCACACAAACACTCTACCTCCTCCAGACAGCGAGCCTCTTCCTGTGCGTTCTCTTTGGTAAACTCCTCCAGTGGGTACTGCAGTCTGGGGAAAGGGGCGATTGGCCAATCAAATGATGGTATGTCCAGCTTGTGGATTGATTTGGAGTGTGTCGTTGCCAAGCAACCTTAACAACGCAAAAGCACTGTGTTAGCCATGAATCAACAATTCAAATAACTTTTAAATTGTGGTTCACCGTGCAGTATTTCAGGCGTGTTTCAGGTATATACTGTATCTATATCTAGCAATTGTACATTTATATCTAGATGTAATTTTTATATATCGCTACACCCAGCTGAAAGGGCTTAATTCCTCCCTTTCCTGGCTGGCTTTTACTGTGAAAGATTAAACAGGAACAGTTTTATTGACAGTAGTTTACCACCAACAGAAAGTCGGCAAAGGAGAACTGACTGGAATTAAATGAATGAAAAAAACATTTTCAATTATAAAGAGAATTTTAGCAGCAGTGTGTGTGTGTGTGTGTGTGTTTTAATGTCACTATTTAATGTACCCATGGTTCTTCCATGGAAACCTCCCATGAAAGATAGAATACTGAGGTCTGGGCAACCAGGGGCCTGAGGCAGAAGAGAGATTAAAAATGAAAGAATAATAATGAGGACATAGAGGAAGATGCAAATATTTAGTATAATATACCTGAAATCCAAAAAAATTAATGATAAGAATGCTAAGTCGTGAGATTTCTTTCACCCACCTGATTTATCATGCAGGTGCTGAGGTCTTCATCAGAAGGTATGTTGTGGCCTCGCTCCTTGTTCTATAGGAAAAACAAGCACACGGTTAGGACCTCATACCAAGATGAAATTAAATTAATTACATTCGGTTGTTGAGCTATTATTTAAGTTCTTATTTCATCAAATATTTATTTTGAGAACAGAAAAATAAATACAATGTTTAATATCAGTTACAAATTAGAAAATAAAAGATAAGAAATCAAGGTGTCAGTTGAGCATTCCCTGTTTATTTATTTATTTATATATTTTTTTGTATTCTAAAACATTAGTCAAATCTTTAATGGTGTCACCCCTCATTAATGTTTTCACATATTGTATATGATAGCAGGTTTGGGGGCAACACAGTGCAGGTTTACAACTAGCAGCACAGGGGTTATATTTCAGTTTTAAAGGCACTTTAATCAGGCACAGATCAGTCAGTTTAATCATCATGAGGAGTATCAGTCTGTGAAAATAGCTATACAATGTCCTCTGTTGCAGTTGGGGAGCCATATGCTTATAAAACACTAACGTGTAACGTATTTGAGTAGTATTACTTTTTTTTTTTTTATGATAAAAAAGCGATCTTCAAGCCACCAACCCAAAGCGTCTTTATATCTTATCGCTCTAACTGTTTACTTATTTACTTACCATTTACTTGTTTAGACAGTGTCCATGTCACTCTGCAGTAATACAACAGACTGACTCTCTTCTGTAAATCCATTTCTTATTTCTAATATCTGGCTGCTCTGCTCACCTTAACATTACCACATCTAACTGTTCACTCCATAGCATACTGTTCATTGTCTAAGAGGAAAGCTAAACCAGTGGATGATATTTTTTCAGCCAACATCTAGAGAAAGATTTAGATTACGGACTGTTGACATTAATCCTGGACCTCATTCATTTTGATAGCAATACAGAAGGTAGCCAACTACATCCACATTGATGGCGCTTGAAAATGTCACATTAGTTTACCTTTATATAAATGTTGGTGTGCCTGCACATTTTCATAGTTTGTCCCAACTGTTTTGTTGCTACCTCTTGTCAAATTCTAAGTGGATTGTTAATTTAGTTAATTTTAGTAAATTTCTTTAATGAACAGGTAACATCAAATAACATTACAGAGTTACAAAGGTGATTCTTATAACAGTAGAGCAACAGGTGGTCAAGTGGCTAAATCAACTTTTGAAAAGGAGATATTTTGTCTAATGGAGGAAACTGTGTTACTAATTAGGCACTACAGCTTGTGAGTCTGCATATGCATGCAGAGTGATGACTAAGACTTTGCATTAAAGCAGTAAATAGTACATTTGTTTGCATTTTATTACTTGACGTAAATGTAACGCATTTAATTAATAATTAGGTCTTCTATAATATTTTAGACCATGTTAATCAGGTAACGGTTCAATTTGTCCCAATGTGTACTCACTCACCCGGTACCAGATAAACATAGCTTTGTAAGCATTTTCATTGGAGCAAGAGCCACAGGCCATTGTCTGCACACGAGTCATTCCACTCGGAGCCACCTGACAGGAGGGAATACAAATTGTATTACTGCTGTTTAATAAAGCTTAATCATGAACAAGGAACACAATCAAAATCACACTGAAAAAAAATATTAATTGAATACATAGCAATGGAAAAATTATCTGCCTCAATTAAAAAACAAACCGCTGACTTAGACATTTAAAACCCATTCACCTGTACACTTAATTCCAACTCCGATTCGATTGATGTCTTTCTGCCTGTCCACCATCCACAATAATCCTACATTCTATAATTTACACATATAACTATTTGCCATAACACATACACTGTGATCCCCACTTTTCTGTTGAAGTGACACACACACATACAGCCAGCCAACACATATATACATACACATACACACACACACACACACACACACACACACACACTTATATACACTCATATTGCCCATACTGACCTTGTTATTGTTAGCAATGTTGTCATTGTTTCATGTTTTGCCTTGCTGTATATTGTTTGTATGTGTATTCAGTTTGATGTCATACAGTTATCACTTGTCTACAACAATGCATCATGTATGTCACCAATAAAACAAAAAAAAGCTTAATAAATTAAAAATGTAGAAAATTATGTCAATTTCATTACAACAATGATAAAAGCAACAACAACAACAACAATAATAATGTTTAATATTAGTATTTTCAATTCTGACTGGTAAATCTGTGTGCGTGTGTGTGTTACTAACTGAGAGAAGACTTTCAGTGATCTTTTCAGGAAAGTTCTCAGGTGGCAGGATTCCCAGGGCAGGTCGGTTGACAAGTGTACTCTGACAGAAAACATAGACAAATTTGTGAAAACACACACACACAACACAACTGAAACCTTTATAAAGAATGTATTCAGCAAACTCTATTCAATTAGACTACCATCAACCTTTAAAATTTTCCTACCAACACCGCCACACTGGTGTTGCTAATTTAAAGTAGAGTAAACAATACTATAACCTCTATACACTGGTAACATCTACCAATAACTAAAATATTTGTTTTCCAAAAGCATCATTGTGTGCATAACATGAGTTCATTATTAGACATATATTAGACTAATTACCAAACACACATACACACGCAAAAAAAAAGGAAATAATGTTTTGCTACATGCTTTACAACCAGTCAAACCAAAAAAGGGAACAGTAAACTTAAAAGTAGCAATAGAAAACTAGAAGAACTACTAGAAAACACAGTGAACTGAAAGAGTTGGAGTTTTATTAAAAATACTTGTGTCCCCCCCACCTCTGAAATCAAAATTTCGTCCTTGGAGATAGTTAAAATTGAAGCCCTGAAATGCCCGAAATGGAATCACAGTTTGACATTCGATTCAACCTGGCCAACTTTGACGGCACCCCACGGACATGCCCTTCAACGTCGTAAATAGCACAACTTTTAATCAGCAACAATTTTTGAATGTACTGTTCAATTTTGAAGTACATTTGATGTACATTGATGGCCTTACTGACTGTGTCTCTGAGTACATTAGGTTCTGCATTGACAACTCCATCCCCTCCAAGGAGGCCTGATGCTACCCAAACAACAAAATGTGGGTAACCAGCAACCTGAAGGCCCTTTTCAATGAGAAGAAGAGGGTCTTTAGA